TTTGTAGTTGTGAAAATAAATGATTTTATTTTATGCCTTATGTATTTAAGTTGCTGGATTTGCGAATTGAAAGTATGTAAAATGCCATGATTTAGAAATATGAGAATGTGATATTATGTGGAAATTCATGTTTTAATCATGCTTAAATGATGTGGATGATATGTATGAAATTTCTATATTGTCATGGCATTGAAGAAATTGCATAATTCATACATTGCCATTGGGAAAGTAAAGGAAAAAGTGTGTTTTTTTTTAAATAAATTAAAAAAAAAAAAAAAAACAAATGAAATTATTTTGAAAAATGGTTTTTGAAAAGTGTTTATGAAAACCCGGACGCCTAGGAGGCACCTAGTGGTCCGTGGTGTTAGTATGGTCTAGAGGGGAGCTAGAGAGAGACTCTAGTGTGGTTGAGCTACTTAGGCCCAGACGATGCCATGGAGGTGCCATGTGGTCGGGGAAAGCTAGCCAACCCTCCCTTCGTGACGCTTTAGAGGTGCCTTGGATCGGATCACACTAACGGTTTGGAAGTTGAAACGGCATTGTTTCGGAAATGGGGAGCGACATTGCATGGCATGGCATGGCATTACATTGACATACATTGTATATTTGGTGGTTAGACGACTTGCATATGTATTTGTTAATTATTATCGTTACTTTGCTTGTTTTCCCCGAGATATGATCCCGTTCTCTCGTATCCTATTCATTGTATGGATTCACGGGGTCGTAAAAGGTGTATCTTAGACGCTTCCTACTGAGCTTTATACTCATCCCATCATCTTAACATTTTTCAGGTCACGGGAAGGAAGTGGCGGATGACGCTCCTCCATAGGTTTTGGTGGGTTAGTGGACTGTTTTGACGTATTTTGTAGCTATGATCTCATTTTATTATTATTATTATTTATAAACCCTGGGATGACATGTATATTATGTATTGACATAGGAAAGGACGATAGCGTTTTTAGTTGACCTCGGGTTCGGGTAAGGACCAGGTTAACTATTCAGACCCTAGGGTTCGGGTCGTTACACCACGTGTAAATTTATCCTTGTCAGCTGTAACATCCTTCCTCCGTCATATGATGAGACCCGTCGCTGCCTTCAATACTCTCTGTCGAGGGAACCAATGCCGGCGCAATTTCTTCCCAGATCGCCACCTTGTAACAGAAAGTGTCATCATTAATAAACACAAATTGCAGATAGGTCGATCCTATTCTCACTGTAATCCGAACGCTTTCGGCATCCCTTATTTCATTAGCAACAGCTCCCACAAATCCACCGCATAACTCCCCTACTTCAACAAATAAAGCATGACACCATAGATGAAGGGGAAGTCCAAACATCCGGATCTATTTGAGACCTTTATCTCTAAGGACGCCGCAACAACCAACCCTAAAAGACCACACATCGATCCGCAAGGTTACAGATCCCCATTGACGCCGACCTTCCTTCAACACACATTGAGCTTCGGCTTGAGAAGGAAACCTGAATAGGAGCAATGAATCAGATAAGGGAGTAATCCCCACTCCACAAGACGTATTCCATGCTTTCGCCGCCCATTCCTCCACCCAATCACATCCCCCAACTTCCTTGTCAAAACGACTGACCAAGCAAGATGAGAGAACTGATTTCTCCCCTCCGACGGACTCCCCGTTGATGTAAAAAGACGGCCCTCGATGTGGAACTACAGACTTCACATCCCCTCTTAGTAAAATTCTTGGAATCCTTGCAGTTTCTAAATAAGATTTCATCGCAAACTAAAACAAAAAGACAAAGTCATTATCGCCTTGAAATCGCCCCTAGTGGGGTGAAATCGCCCATAGTGACGTCAGCTCAAAGGAAAACATAAAGGGGTATATATACAATACAAGAAAGGCCTATTTACATAATGACCACAAACCCTATATCTAATTACAATAGAACCCCAACATAAATACAAATATACATATAAATGTTCAAACATGAACATAAGAGCAACAAAACAATGGGTGAAAATCACCTCCAATAAAATAGTGTGTCATTTAATCTATTTTGAAATGAGTGGTCCAGAAATGGCCACGTCACCCATGTTTGAGATACATAGTAAGCAAATATTAGGATGCACAGTAGGAAAATGTTGGAATGCACCTTACGAAAATGTTGGAATGTACTTTTACTTACAAAAATAGAGGAAATGGACTGCTGTGCAACTGGAGGTGATCCTTGTCCCAAAACAACCATCTATTGCAAGCCCACAATTGGGATTAAACAATAAGAAACTTGACTTGATTCTAAGCCTCAGAAAAATAGGTGGAGCATTGGTGTATAAATACCCATGACTTGTATGTAAACATCATCACTTCCCATTTTCCTTCATTAGTAACCTTTCAATACCAATAGCAAACAAAGGTATGATCTCAAGGCTATTAAGTTCATCTCCCATTCTTTTCTACATTCTACTTCATACTGGTTTTATAGAGTTTCTATTTTTCTGAAGGATGATAATGTTGGACAACCAAAAAGATGCTTTCCAAGTCTGAATTTGTGCATTTGGGATCTGGGTTCTTCTACTTCATTTTTTTTTTTTTTTTGTTTTATAGTTTCTTTAATATATTTTTTCTCACTATTTTTATTCGCTATCATCATCCCTTATGAATAAATTTTGAAAGGAGTAATAACTTTTGACAATGTGAGTCACCTAGCAATCTGTTTCATTAGACGCGCAGAGTAAGCAAACTCGTATTTGCTCTGGAATGTTTTGCTCTTTGAAATTTTTGTAGGTTCCTTCTTTTTTATTAAACTTTTTTTTTTCCCATCTTTTTTTTTTTTTTTTTTTTTTTTCCTTGACAAGTGGAAATGGGGTTTCATGGAATCATGTAAGTCCCTGGGGTACTTGATCCTGTGTACATTTTTTTAAAAATTCAATTGCATACTTACCTAAATAAAACAAACAACAAAAACATTTAAAATTAAATATAAGTAATCACCTAACCCAAAATAAATAAATAAAAAATGCAAACATAAATGCACAGCACACAAAAACTCCAGTCCTGAGTTCAACTCTCACCAGGCACAAAAACTCCCAGTCCTAAATTATATGTGTGGTTTTTGGGTTCTTACACATATCTGAAGATCACCTCAATAAAGGATATGGAATGGTTAGGGCACTAAAAAGATTGGGCAAACATTGACCAAAATAAGAGAGTATTGTGTAGTTGTACAAAAGGAGACGACGGTGGTGGTTGATATGGTTCAATCTTTACCAGATAAGAAACTATGACGATATAAAGAGATAAGATAGTGAGTAGACGTACATTCCAGATAAAAAAGAAATAGAACTAATCTGCATCATCATATTAAAAATATTTGGAGAAGCAGTCTCAGTGTGTGTTTGTACGAGTTAGAAAATGCTAACTGAGAGATTGGAAGGAAATTAATGTCTTCATCTGATTCTGCGAAAAAAAATTTAACACCCCAGATACCTACCCAAGAATCTTCATCCAGTTGTATACCTTAGTATTTTAATTTTTACGATGACTGGAACTACAAGTTAATTTAAAGAAAGTCAAAAGCAAAGGAAAGACTTAAAATAAATGAACCAATTTATGATCTCAGTTCTATGGTGTCATCAAGTTAACATGAATATAAATTTGTTTTTGGAGTCAATGGCTTGTTATTCCAAGATGCCATATCAATAATTTAGAGGGAAGCAACTTTTTTATATATAATATTTTCCTTCTAAAAAAGGTTCATAAACAATACATATGCATACCACTGGCTGACTCAGAGTGTGACGTCTCGATCACATCCCTGACACTACATGTGTGGTTGTCTCCTAACTGTGTAGACACGTTTTGTCTCCTAACAAATGTTGGAGGGTACTATTTATCTTGGGATAAGAATTCTAAAGATCACTGGCATAGTCTATGCAGAAAAATTAATTGCTTAATTTATTGAGATTCTCACAAAGAAAGTCTAGCAAAATTAGAAAAAGGCTCTTGGTAACTGCTTCAAGGGGTTTGATGTGATAGAATCGCATCACTGCAAATTGAACATTGTAAATTTTTATGTTTGTTTTAGACACCCAAGAAAGAAACAAAATTGGTAAGTGAAAAGGACCACAACAACAAAACAGCAGTGGGAAAGAAGGGGAAAAAAAGGTGGTCCCAAGAATCTTTAACAGGTCAGCAGTTGGTATGAAACAAAAAGAATAAATGAAAATGGATGGTATGGAAGTATATTAATGTTGGATTTGGAAGGCCTGAGTCCGCGCCTTGAATTTAAATTAAATTTACTCCAATTTCAAATTCAATGTGGCAATTCAATGCTACCAAACCTAACGTGCGTGTTTTTCTGAATTTTTTTTTTTTTTTTTTTTTTTTTTTGAATCTCCAAATCTCTACACTCACTAAATTTTCTTAACAGATCGTGCAATGGGCGGTGGCAGTGCAGCCTCCATATACATTGACTCAGACCTATGTATATGTAAATTGATGAAGGCATTCGACATGAAGGGATTGAACCGTGGAAATCGGCAGAATCTAAGTTGGGAATTGACAATTAATGACCATATTAGTGCACCATATTAGTTAATTTCTTAAAATTATATATAATCTTAAAGGTGGGTTTTGGTGTTGTCATAGAATTGTGCATCTTGACTAGACTATTTGTGATTTTATATTGTTTATTTGGTGCCAAATCACTGATTGATACCTAATCTTTAACATAAGTTGACTAAGTTTTTCAATTAATTTAAGCTAAAAACATAGTGCTTTGTGATTCTTATTAATAAATGTAAGTTGAATGATTTAACATAACATAAAATATAGAGAAGGTCAGAGAAATTACTTTATCTGAACCAACCTCCAATAAATTTGCCCATGAAGTGTGTGTCTTAGTGAACCATTGGTGTATAAATGTGTCCATGACTTGTGTGTAAACCGCATCACTATAGTATCCAGGGCCACCACAATACAAGCCTTTGTAGTACTGGCTTCAAACTACCAACACCAATATAGCACAAAAATATGAGCTCAAGACTACTGAGTTTATCTCCCGTTCTCTTTTCTGTCCTATTTCATGTGGGCTTTATAGTACTGGCATGTACTGCATTTGGCTTCACAAATGAAACAGACAAACAAGCCTTGCTAGCCATCAAGGATAATATTCCTGGGGATCCCTTTAGGGTCCTTAGCTCATGGAATGATTCTATTAACTTCTGTGATTGGCAAGGAGTTATTTGTAGTCGTCGGCATCAGAGAGTGGCCATCCTAAGCTTGTCTTCGATAAACTTGGTGGGTTCCATTTCTCCTCATATAGGAAACCTTACCTTTCTTAGAGACATCTATCTCAACAACAACAGCTTCCATGGCACCATTCCCCAAGAAATTGGTCAATTGTCACGATTGCAACAGCTTTGGCTTAACATAAACTCTTTCCAAGGTGAGTTCCCTACCAATTTGACTCGTTGCTTAAATTTGAGAGTCGTCAACATATCTGGAAACAATCTTGTAGGAAAAATTCCTATGGAACTAGGGTCATTGTCTAATCTCTTAAACTTGAGTCTTTCCAAGAATCATTTCAGTGGCAAGATCCCACCTTCACTTGGGAATCTTTCTGCTCTTCGTACACTTGTTCTAAATTATAACAATCTGGAGGGAAGCATTCCTTTCGAACTTGGCCAGCTTTCTCACTTACAGTCTCTTGGATTGTCTTCTAACAACTTGTCCGGTGTGGTTCCTAACCCATTTTACAATATCTCATCCATCAATTACTTTGTCCTATCTTCTAACCAATTGCGTGGAACTCTCCCTCCAGATTTGGGGTTGACCCTTCCAAATTTACAAATATTGTATTTGGGAAACAACCAATTCACTGGGACTATTCCCCCATCATTAGTCAATGCCTCAAGACTAGTGAAAATTGATACCACTGTGAATGCCTTAATTGGGCCTGTGCCAATGAATTTGGGAAGCCTTCTTTATCTACAATGGCTAACCATTGGAAGTAATGCACTTGGAGCTAAGAAAGACAACGACTTGACCTTCATCAATTCCTTAATCAATTGTACAAATCTAAGGCTTCTGTATTTAAATGACAACGGTTTTGGGGGTGTGCTACCCAATTCCATTGTGAATCTATCAACCAAGCTCACCGAGCTAATGATGGATCAAAACTACATATATGGAAGCATACCACAAGGGATTGAAAATCTCAAGAATTTAGAGCTTTTATCATTAAATCAGAACATGCTCACAGGCAGCATTCCTGAAACCATTGGTCAAGTCTCTATGTTGGCAGAACTCTACATTTATGAAAATAACATTTCTGGAAAAATTCCAACATCTATTGGCAATATTTCTCAGTTAAATGTTTTTTCCTCAAGAAAAAATATGCTAGAGGGAAGCATACCGGTTTCTTTGGGTTCTTGCAAAAACTTACAGGTATTGGATGTTGGATACAATCGTCTCATTGGGCCAGTACCGGAACAAGTTCTCGATCTTTCTTCCCTTTCAATAGCTCTCTTATTAAGTCATAATCAGTTAACTGGTCCATTGCCCCCACAAGTAGGTGACTTGAAAAATCTAGCACAGTTAGATATTTCAGAAAACAAACTGTCAGGAGAGATCCCAAGCAGTATTGGAAATTGTCTAGTTTTGCAATTATTGCATATGGAGGGTAACCTTCTTGAAGGTACCATTCCGTCATCTTTGAAGCAATTGAGAGGTATTGAAGTTCTAGATCTTTCACGTAATAATTTGTCCGGAGAGATTCCAAGGTTTTTAGGAGAGTTCTCATTCATTCAGAATCTCAACCTTTCATATAATTCATTTGAGGGTGAAGTTCCATCTGAAGGAGTGTTCATGAATGCTACCGCGTTTTCAATTTTGGGAAATAACAAGCTTTGTGGAGGAATCAAGACATTGGAATTGCCTGAATGTCCTGTGAAAGTCTCAGATAAAAAAGAAAAGTTGTCTGCTCGTGGATTAATGATAATTATTGTGATTAGTACCACTCTTTCTCTTACATTGTTAATAGCATGTTTTTGTGCTATTCTTTGTCTAAACAGAAAGACAAAAGCAAGATCATATCCGGACCATCAGTTGGGAAATTGGTATCCAACACTCTCTTACGCACAACTTCTTCAAGCTACCAATGGATTCTCTTCAGCCAATTTGATTGGTGAGGGGAGATATGGTTCCGTTTATAAAGGAATTCTCAATTTTGGTGAACAAGTTGTTGCTGTAAAGGTACTCAATCTCCAACAACATGGAGCCAACAAGAGTTTCTTGGCTGAATGTGAAACAATGAAGAACATTCAACACCGCAATCTCCTCAAGATCATCACATCTTGCTCAAGCATATGTTTTAATGGAAATGATTTCAAGGCTTTGGTCTTTGAGTTCATGCCAAATGGGAGTTTAGAGAGTTGGTTATACCCAAATTTCTCTGATCAACAGAATTCAAAGTACTTGGATCTAATCGCAAGGTTAAACATCGCCATTGATGTGGCCTCCGCATTGGAATATCTTCACCATCATTGCGGGACAACAATCATTCATTGTGATCTAAAGCCAAGCAATGTTCTTCTAGACAATAAGCTATGTGCCCATGTAGGTGATTTTGGTCTGGCAAGATTTCTTCCAACGACCATTGGTAAATCTGATCATACACAGTCTACTTCATCAACTGCGGTTAGAGGAACAATCGGTTACGTGGCACCAGGTAATCAATTACTGTCTTAAATTTCCTGCTTAGTCTTATGTATTCCAATACATTCTTTCCCACTGCATTCTTAAAGGTTATTTATTTAGCTTCGGACCCTCGTAAAATTGGAAGGTAAGAATACGAGACAGAAATAAATTATTCTAGACCTTATCTTCGTGATTGAAGATGACCTTTTTATTTATTTATTTTTTTGGCATAACCAGGTTATATTATTGAATTTTAAATATTTCATTTATATGCAGTGTCCGAATCTAATACTTGAAAATAATTTATAATTTATAATACATGAATTGGACATTTAGAATTCTAGTTGTGTTCATTTTCTGGAATTGCAGAATATGGTATGGGTATGGAGGTTTCAGCACAAGGTGATGTATATAGCTATGGGATCCTCGTACTGGAGATGTTTACTGGAAAAAAGCCCACTGACAGCATGTTCACCGACAATTTTAGTCTTCATAACTATGCCAAGATGGCACTTCCAGATAGAGTGATGGAGGCTACTGATTCCTTACTCACGTCGAAAGAGGGAGATGCATCAATAAGGACCAGCCAGTGCAACATTGCTAGATTAGAGAAGTGCTTAGTGTCTATCTTTCAAATTGGAGTAAAATGTTCGGCTGAGTTTCCAAGAGAACGGATGGATATTAAGAATGTTCTAATGGAACTGCACATGATTAGAAATGTAATTTTGCAGAAGGAAGAACGAGTGTAGAACAAAGAGGAAAGAAAACATTTACAGCTTATCATGTAACATTTTGTAGATTTTCATTTTTTTTTTTTTTTTTTGAATTTTTTTTTTTTTTTTTTATTAACATTTTGTAGATTTTCAGCCATATGAACTTTTTAATCATCACATTTTGTTTACCAAAGTTCACACCTTCAAATTCATGGAATGAGAAAAAGAATCTAATGTTAGTAGAAAGGAGATCGATCGAATAATCAAAGCATAACTGAATACGGAGTTATCATATATAAGAGACTTTCAGTTGTGATACTTTGGATGATATTCTTGCTTAATTGTGTTTTGCCTCTAGATTTGGGTACACCATATCCAATTTTTTCAGATCATGAAATGTAGTAGGAAGGTGGAGTGAAAAAATTGGAAATTTTTTCATGTTTGTCAAGTATTAATTGTGTGTTTATTGATGTGAGAGTTCAGGCTCAATTTCTAAGACCAATGAACTCATTCATAATATATAGTTGAAAAGCTATTTAGGACTTAATGATGGTTATGAGGATAAATTTGGGTGTTCAAATATTCTTTGCATTCAACAAAATGACACAAGGCACATACTTTTCATGGTTTTAGAACCATCTAATTAGGGGGCCATGGGGGACTATATTGGCCTGCAGGCATGCAACTTTTGAGGGACATGCCTTTTATTGAACCCAAGCCTGAAAATGGGAATGCATTACAAATTATAGGACTAGCTGGAAAAACAGAAAAGAGAAAAAGAAATTATAAGAACAATAAGTGGCCAGGAGCTAGCTATATCCCCTATAAGTGAACAATAGTCCATTGTAAAGTTTTGTATGATAAACCAAAAGATAAACTCAAATGATGTTAAACTAGCCATTTTCTTTAGATCATGAAGAGTAGGAAGCAGAAGTGAAAATTCCATAAATTTCTTCAGGTTTTTCAAGTATTAGTTGTGTTTTTATTGATGTAAATATGAAAGTTCATGCAATGAACTATTTATAATAATTGAAAAGCTAAATAAGACTTGTAACAATTGTGACGATAAATTTGCTGCTGAGAGATCAAAAGGATCTGAATTGTACCTGTGGCATTTGGTACTCTCCATAAGCATTTACTCAATCTTTAATGGAAACCGTGCTAATTTATTTATGCTTTCTGCAGACCGAACAATGAGATAAAATATCAAATTTGAGAATATATCCAATGGCTATTAAAAAATTACCGATAATCCAACTTTTTAAATGTAAGAACCAATAATTTCGAGAAATATTGTTAGAGAACTATGTGTTGACAGAGAGAGAATTTGATTCCAGGAGTTGCAATGTACTTGATAAAATAAAATAACAAAATTCAACTAACATTGCAAATATTGATTTTTCCAATAAAAAGGTAAATAAGAAAAGGCAAAGAAAAAGAAAAAAAAAAACCCATGCTAATCAAGGAGTAGTATAAGAAAGATTGCTTGACAAACATAAGAACTAAAATATCGATTGGTAATATTTCCATATAATACAGTTTAAATTGTCCTTGACTGGTTTTTATATTTTGAAAGCGATGCATCATAGCCTCATTAGCAGCTTCCCTCTATTTTTTATTGATTTAATTAGCCTCAATCAATTTAGCGATGCATGATAGCCTCAATAAAAACAGTAATGAAGCCGGGAATCTATTTCATGGGAAGTATATTGAACATGACAAAGTAATTTTCCTTCCAAATAACAGTGCAACATGACAGTAATATGAAATTAGAAGTGCAGTAGATCATAGTACATGAGTGCAAAAAGAAGAATCTTAAAAAGTGGGGAAAAACTGAAAGAAGACAAAGAAGAAAAAGAAAAGAAAAATGAGAGAACTTTGAAAGGAAAAAAATTATGGTATGATCGAAGGAGCATATAATTTATTTAAAGATAATCAAAGGAATTTGAAGAGTAAAAGAGAAAACAAAAAACTATTAATTTTTTTCATTGTTATTATAAATTAATACTAATTACAAATCAGAGATAAAGATTATAGTTCATATATTTAATAATTCAGAACTTAGTTGAAAATTTTTAGTAAAAGTAGGACTTTATGGCATGTACAAAATTTTGATTTATCTGTCAAAATTAAAAATTAGGACTGACTAGTATTTTTCCATTAAAAACTTCGAAAACTTGATTAGTATTAGCATGTATATATATATTAAAGCAAGTGAAACAAAAATAGTCACTGCAAAAGTCATTCCATTAATGTAAATTATGGCCACCTACAAAAAGATACTCTGTTTTCAGCTGGAGGCTGAATTCTCTTTATTTGCATTAAAGAACGAGAAGCGTAGTTTGGTAAAGTGCAACTCTAGGAAAGAGGGTTGGAAGGTAACATAATTCATACTTTTATGACTGTTTTTGGTGCATTTCGTTGCTCCAAATTTCAATATCTCACACTATCATATCCCTAATACAGAGGGGTTCTTATTTTATTTTATTTTCAAGGGTACATGTTCACCATTTGTTGCAATGCCCATAAAAAGGCCAATTAATTTTAATAATATAAGCGGGTAGTTTTCAACAGTCTAGATAATTGGCTAGTCTGCAACATAATATTAAAAATCTTTGGAGAAGCAGCTGAATGCTTCATTTGATTCTGGCCAAGAATATTCAGCCAGCTGTATCAACATTTCCACCCTTAGTTTTCAATTATCATGATGACTAGAACTACAAGTTAATTTAGAGAAAGTCAAAAGGAAAGGAAAGACCTTAAATAAATGAAACAATTTATTATCTCAGTTTCTGGAACCAGTGACTTATTATTCCCGGATGCCAACAACAGAACAGCAGCACGAAAAAAAATAGAAAAAAGTGGTTGAAGTCAGATGAACATACTTTAGTCCCATGAATCTTTTGCAGGCCAGCAGTAGGGATTAAGAAAAAGAATCAACGAACAATGGACGGCATGAAAGTAAATAAAATATTTTCTTCACTTGATTCTGTTTCTGCAGAGATTGCTCAGTCTAAGCCTCTGAAAACACCATGCATAAGTGCAGTATTGGTGTATAAATTTTCCCATGACTTGTGTGTAAACCTCATCACCTCCATTTCCCTACATTATTAACCTTTTACTACCAATAGAACAAGAAGTATGATGGTAAGGCTATCAAGTTCATCTCCCATTCTCTTCTACATTCTACTTCATACGAGCTTTATTTTATGGGACGCAAACCTCAAAGTGAGTACCGCTTCTGGCTTTACAAACGAGACAGACAGGCAAGCCTTGCTAGCCATCAAGGATCAAGAAGTGCAATTAAAGCATGACACAAGCCCACACATGCGCACAATTCAACAAGTCTTGTTGTTTCAAGAATTGATTGGATGATGGATAGATGAAGATGGGACGAAGAAAGAGGAGTGTCAGTCAGACACCCAATATACCAATGCATATGACATATCTAGCAATGGATGAAATTGATACATAAATATATGTATATACATATATCATATATTGTATATATATATATATATATATATATATGTATATGTATATGTATATATATATATATACATATACATATATATGTATATACATATGTATATGTAGATATGTACATATATGTATATGTATATACATGTATATATACATATGTATATACATATATATGTATATGTAGATATGTACATATACATATGTATATACATATACATATACATATGTATATACATATATATGTATATGTAGATATGTACATATACATATGTATATACATATATATGTATATGTAGATATGTACATATACATATGTATATACATATACATATACATATGTATATACATATATATGTATATGTAGATATGTACATATACATATGTATGTACATATCTACATATACATATGTATATACATATATATGTATATGTAGATATGTACATATACATATGTATATACATATACATATACATATATATGTATATACATATATGTATATGTATATGTATATTAGTTTCGGCCTATAGACATCCAAGAGTCATCCAAGTAAATAAGATAAAATCCTAAAAACACTCCAATTTAATATCGTCTTCAAAAAATTAAAAATAAATAAATAAGTTTTTAATAATTAAATTAATAAAACTTCCAAATTTTATATCAATTTGAATGCCTTTAGACTTTAAAGAAGATTTTCAAAATGTTCAACCGTCTTCCTATAGAACTAAATAAGGTGATTTTGAGACACTAAACAATGGAATTTCACCGAAAGTAAAGTTAGTGGGTATTGATCGTTAGGTCTTCTGTGATTGAAAATGGGTCGGCTCAAGTCAAAACAGACTCAACGCACTGCAATGAAAAAATGTCATGCATATTTGTACCCGAGTTTG